GTCTGTCTGTCTGTAAATTTCTACCTTCTTCATTTTTTTTACTTTATTCTCTGGGATCGGACTCGTGTGAACTATAGCAAGAATGATGCCGAGTCACTGAGAGCTTTACGGAATTTGGACTTCCTCTCAATATCCACAAAAAAGATTAGAATTTGAAGAAATGCAGAGCAGAGCTCTCTAACAAGGAAGATTATTAAAAAGTTACCTGTAGACTCATGTACACAGCAATAACCAGGAATTGGAGAAGTAAAGGGGCTGGGTGGACGGAACTAATGAGTAAGATTTTTACATAGAACAATTTCAAGTTTTTTAGAACTGTCCAAAATGGTAGCATTTGCCCACATGGAGAAATGTACATAGGATTAAATCTAAAGAACAAAGTATATTATGCCCCCCTGAGGAAAGAATTGAACTACTCTGTGGAAAAACATGCATACAAGGAAAAAATTCTAAGGATCTTCTCGGAACAAAAGGGTCGTGATAAATTGTAAGATAAGAAACAATTCAAAGATATTATAATTTAGTAATTTGTTTTAAACATGACACAGAAATAAAGGTTTTTTTTTCCAAATCCAGTCCCTTTAAGGACTGAATAAGAATTAAAAAGTTTCAAACTTGAATATATGAGAAAAAAAGATATATAAACTTCAGATTTCTGTGATATAAGTATGGGTAACGAATATTATAAAAAAAAATTCATTTTGGATGTAATTTTTAAAGAAAAATACAAATAAAAATGAAGTAATAACAGAAGAACAAAAAATAACCTCTATAAAAGCCCTTACTTATGCGGTTTTATTTCCAGGCTTTTCATGACCTTCTTCACATTTAAAAATGCTAATTCATGATTGCATAAATCAGCTGTTGCAGAGGAAGATGTACAGGTGCTTGAGGACAGGACCCCCCTCCCCTTTCGATATAGACCCCTGGGTCTTTTCGACCTTTTTCTCATAAATTATCTTTCATTGACATATTTGTGATAAGATCGTTACCAACAAATCGAAAAATTACATAAAACAAAGATTTTATAAAATCTACCCTACATTCCATATTTAAAAATCAACTTTATATACTTGTATTATATATATTGCGTGGGGTGGAAATTTTTATAAAATGTTAGTTTAAGCAAATTTTCTGAATTGATAAGATTGATTTTATCACAAACGTGTCAACCATGTTCAATTCTTGTGAATAAAGTCTAAAAGGTCAGGGGCCATATTGGGGGAGGGGGGGGGGGGGGGTGTCCTGTCCTCAAGCACCTGTGGGAAGATTATTGTGTTTTATCTATATGTACATGTACATGACTGTATGTTCGTCCACCTACTTTGACTCATTTCTTGATGTTCTTCATGTATATTGTAAGATTTAATTTGTATGGTCATGAAATCTCCGAATGGGAGAAATACAGATTGAAAGAATGATTCCTTAATACAAGTAGGAGCGTATACATGTATACCGTGAACATCGTAAAGAAACGTGTGTCCCATCAATCGCCATATCACAAGGAGCGAGAATCTTATAGAGAATGTAAGATGGTGGAGAAGTGTTTTTCCCTTATGTTTGGCTGACTATCCAAGGCAGAATAAGCTAAAGGAATTTCTGCTAAAAAAAAGTAACCAGGTATGCTCGTTAGCCTTATATTGATCTTGGATATTTGTACATGTATTCTTATTATCGATTATAAACATTTCTTTTACGCTTTCTTTGGATTTTACATTTCTGTAAATGAGAACAACTACAGTACATGTTCTTAAAATCAATACCTTATTTTTGGAGATGTTCTGTCTTATAGCCGCATACCTCAGTCTCTTATTTGAATACTACTTACTAATTACTTACTTACTTACAATAAATTACTTACTTACTACAAAATGCTTTAATTTTGTCCTGCATCGTCCGTCGTGTTTTTACATTTAAACGTTTTCACATTCTTCCTCGGAAACGCTCAATCAGTTACATGTACAACTGATTCTGTTATAAAACATTGAAGGATTTCGTTGCTGAAGTAGAGTAATAGATTTAGAAGAAAAACTTTTGTCACGTAGTGAATTATTAAAAGTTTATTTACAATGTTACAGAATTTAATTTTGTTTATGGAATTATTTTTAATGCTTATTTTTGACATATGCATCAAATCCTGACGAGAAGCCACAAGGAACGCATGTGTCGACTGCTTTTATGTACATTGTACAATGTAACTAAAATCTAAGATTGGTCAGTTATTTATATGACTAGCTTATACAGTATTTCATTAAAAATTGTAAAAAAAAAAAAAAATCTAGCATGATATCATCTAATTCATTAATGAATTAAAAAAAAAAACATCCTCGCAAAGTAACAGACCGTGAAATAATCTCAACCTTCAAATGATTAATTTTTGTGTCGCCCGGCGTCTGTCTGTCTATCAAGATCAATGGTTACAAGGTCGGTAACTATGGCAATTTACAAATGTATATATCTAGGTGTTAATTTTGAACTTTTCTTTGTCATTTCAATATCATGGTCCATGGCATTCTCCCCTAGGAAAAATGTTTAAAAAAAAACCAATTACTGTTATTTACAACAGTAGATAAGATACACTGTACATGCAAATAAACTGTTAGTCACTTTTTCTCGGGCTTTCAAATTGTTAAGATTAATAATTAAATTGATTATTGATTGAGAAATACACGGTGAAGTTCAATTTGTTGAAAATCAGTTTTAAGGGCAGATAACTCTAACCACAGAATCAGAACTTCTTCACAATTAATAGTATAATCATGGGTGTCTTAAATCTGGTAACCCCCCCCCCCCATTCATTAAAACCTAGATTTCAATAGAAGAAAAGTTAATCTTTTTTTTGTCCCCCGCTTGAAAAGTGGGGGATATTAATTTGGGTTTGTCCGTCCGTCCGTCCGTCTTTCTGTCTGTCTGTAACGCTTTCGTTTCCACACGATATCTCGAGAACCCTTTGAGCTTTTGCAATGAAATTTAGCATAGCAACTCCCTATGGACTAAAGTAGACCCCTATTGATTTTGAGGTCAAAAGGTCAAAGGTCAAGGTCATAAATTAGCAAATTCTGTCTGTTAAAACACTTTCGTTTCCACACGATATCTCTAGAACCATTTGAGCTATTGCAATGAAATTTTACATAACAACTCCCTGTGGCCTAAAGAAGACCCCTATTGATTTTGAGGTCAAAAGGTCAAAGTTCAAGGTCGTAAATTTATACATTCTGTCTTTGTGTAACACTATCATTTCCGGGCGATATTTCAAGAAGATTTTGAGCTTATGCAATGTAATTTTATACCAAAACTCCCTAGGACGTCTCTCGCCCCTCTCAAAGTGCCCCGCCCCGTTTGTTTTATTAGTATTTATAGTATTACATGTCGCTATTTTTAGCGCAGGGGCATGAGGAGAGTTATTGCGTATAAAACAGGTTCTCGGTGGACTTTATGTTCTTATTACATCTATTAGAACTATTTCATAAAGGCTAAATAAATCAAACACCATGGATTGTGTAAAATTTTGAGAATACCGAACTTGAAAATATGAATATATACATGTATGTGACTTCACTTCTGCATATACTTTACTCTATGTAAAGCGATTCCGTGGTCTAGTGGTTATGTCACTCGCTTCAAGTTTAAGAGGTCCCGGGATCGAATCTCGGTAGAACCTGTCTTTTTTTTCCTTTTTTTTTTTAAATACTTTTCTTTTTTTTATTAAATGATAGTATTCAGCATGTGAAATGAAAAATTTATGAGGTTATAAAATCATCATTACAGTGTGATAAATATTCCATATAAAAAGAATCTTCTATACACATAATTACAGAATAAGCAATCAAATCTTTATATGCATATTGACATACATGTATTTTATTTGCTTCAGTATACATGTATACATTTAATAATTCTACAAATTCAGTCAGGGGGATCCGACTTTTTCCCTAAGCGGGGGACACGAATTCTCTGAATTAGCTTGTTAAATCTGTGATGAATTATCGCCTTAAATTCATAAATCATTAAGTCGTAACACTTAGCTTAACACAACCGTAAAGCAAATCTTTTTATTCAAAGACTTGGGTTAGTTTTTTTTAAAAGGACTGCCCGTATCAATTGCCGTGTTTAAATCTGTTTTTTTTTTAAATAGATATGCATGTACTGCCATTTTGTAGCTCATCGGTGACCGCTGGGGATTGAATAGCCGCCAACAGTAAAGCCAAGTAAGGTCAGTTTTTTTTCCGTAAGGGACACTTATAATATATACATGTATTTATTTAAAAAAAATATTTTTCATTGCAGCGAGACAACGCGCAGTCGTTGTTTAACACGGCTTTTCTTGTCTAATAAAGAGACTGAATAGATTTAACAATTTTATTGTTTTGATCCTCAATAATTTAAAAGTGTTAAAATATCCGAGTTAGTAAGAGCTCACAATATAGTTGAAGTTGACGTTATTTAGATATTAAGATTTATTATATAGTTGTAAAGTCATGATTATAAATTTCCACGACTTCCATTCCCGAGAACCCTCTTTAAAAATAAATATCAAATTGCTTATTTCAAACCATAAATGGATTTCGCCCACAATTTACTACACTAATGTTACCAGTAGTACTCTTTTCGTTGGGACAAGGTAATCTCAGACTGAGGTAATTCCCGTGTAGAATACAATGTGTTGATATAAGAAATAATTCTAGGTTGCGCTGTCGAGGTTAATGCGATCAATCCGCTAAAAACTTGTATCAAATGAACTGATTTCATGGTCGGGTACTCTAAAGATCAAACAATTAAACGTACACAAAAATGGTTCTCAACGCTAATGTTCAACTTATATTTTTTTGTCTGCTATATGTACACCAGAGTAAAATAGGCAATGCATTGTTTGACATTTTTTCCGTCATATGAAATTTTTATTTACCATGAAAAAGGTACTAGTTCCTTCGATAGATTTTAAAAGTAACTATCCGTTTAAAAGTTTTGTTTTTCCTTTTAAGTCAACTGTACAGAAACTGCGATCGATAAAGAACGCTTTTGTGAACAAGAAAAGCTGGACGATTGTGCTCTCGGCATTTAGTTTTTCGTTGACTTATATACCCTTATGGATCAAACAAATAAATAAACTAAACATACATCAAGTAAGTTACTGTAAATATTTTAAAATGGTTTTTTTAAAAAAGGACTGAGATTGCCCTAGTTTTCGCATTGAATGGCTACTATTTATAAATATTTTTTTCTGCTCAACGAAATTTAGATAATAGATTTAAACTCCGTGTATTTCAATTACTAAACATGCTAAAGGTCCCGTCTTTTAAAAAAAAGCTAGAGTATTTACTCAAACTCAAGGATGAGTTTAAGAGTAGAAATTTATAAAATTCAGTCATCGTTGGTGGTTCCAAAATCTTATGGATGATTTTCTTTAAAAATTAAAGCAAAAGAAGAGAGAAGATAAGGCCGTTTTTTTTTGTGGATGGGTGGGGGTGGGGTATGTTCAGTGCCCGACTGTAGCGTTAATTTAATTAATACATTGTACATGTACAAGTCAAAATAAACATATCTTTTGTTTATTAATGTTGGTGGTGGGGTGGGGGAGGGGCTTGTCATCTTTTATTTTGGTTTTGAATTACATGTATTCTGTATACATAACGACCCGCGGCTGATGTTTTCAAACATTTCTCAGCATGCTTATAAATTAACATACTCCAAATGATAAACCCCCCCCCCAACATTTTCCTCAAACTACACCCCCAACTTATTCTTTTGTATTCTTACCCCCACCCCATCTCTCTTCAGTATGTCTACAGACAGCGGAAACAAGTGCATACCACCTGATTACATGTATAAACACATGCTGTCCATTAACACTGTATTAGCAGATGTCTATATATACACCATAACATACATAGTGGGTATATCAGGAGACAACTGAGCTAGCGATCTATTGATCGTGCACCAAGACGCGACCAGCAGCGTTAATTAGGCTGTTTGGGGGGAAAATTCAATACTGCTTCATACATGGAGAAAGGTCCGTTTGTATGTATTTACAGCTTTAGAAAGAAATTAAGGTAGGGATCTCTTTTTTGATGGAGCTTAACAAATTTTTAACGCCTTTTAGACTGTAAGATGCGGTATGTATTCTCGATAAGAATTCATTTCTTGCATCGACCAGTCATTACTAATTCAGCATATTACATGTATTATGTATAGGTCGTGCGGGAAATTAAAGAAGAAGCACTCAATACATGTATATGCAGTAAGTCAATGTTAACCCGTAATAGGTTGCCATGGCATTGTCTGTAGTTCGCTAATTATAATGAAGTGATAATTAGTGTTAGTTAGTAATTAAGTAAGTAAATATTTTTATTATAGTGACATGTGTATAGTTTTCCACAACAACAACTAGATACAGTATAAACGTATATATACCTATGTACATTGCACCTAACCCGTCTTACATAAAACAAAATAACAGTCTTGGGGCGGTTCGTTTCTAAATCGATCTGTTTCTGTTTTAAGCGGAAGAGTACGGAAGTCGATTTCCGATCTCGTATTAGGTTGGTAAGGGTAAATATGTGGTCTTCACAAGATCTTTTGCGCCAGAATCCGTCCTGTGTATCGGAGAGTATTCCGTTGTCTTCTGTGTATTACTGTATTCTATCGTTGAAGACTGAAGAGAGTTTTCCTGCCCGATGTTGCTTCGTTTATTACACACATAAAAATCAACACTGCATGTAATTTTAACTTGATAAACTATAATTATATATATAATGTATAAATACGAGGGTTGTTCGAAAAGTTCGTGTACGATGTGAATCTTCGTTATATTACTCACTAGTAATTTAAATTAAGCACAATATAATGTGTAAAAATATCTGTTTTGTTGATGTTTGAAGTTTCATTCCATTCGATTTAACAGAAATCAATTTACTTCATTTAAAATCAACATGTTTGTACCCCCGAAGCACACTTAACGGCAATGTAACGTCAAAACTACAAGAATTTCTACAAAAAAAAAAAAAAAAACAATATCCCTATACATGTCACACAGTATAATCCAATGCCCACTCATTAAATCCATTTTCTAATACTTGACATATATATTTTTTAAAGAATTACTCTCGTTGTGTAATTTCCTTTGTTAAGGTTTTAAATTCTTTTATTACTTAACTCTGCTTTCACAGGATACGCAACTCTGAAGCGCCTATGTCTTTCCTTGACGTTCCAACTTTTAAAAGTTTTCTCTTTAGATTTTTACAGTTGAACCGTAGCTTCACAGATTGTACTCATACGATACTGAGTCTCTGTCACTCAATGACTGCCTCTATTATATGTACACACATGCACAACTCGCTTGTGACATATTTTCTTGATTCCCTCAACATTTTTAGAGTTTATTCAGGGTTTTTCCTGAGTAAAACACAAAATTTCTTCTTTATCTGCTGCTCTGTGACGTTCTAAAACGTCATTGTTTTTGTCGTTTTCAATAAGGACTACCTCTCTTCTCAAGCTGATTTCTTATCATCAAAGCAAAATATAAAGCAATTATTTGATATACGAATCGAAGTAACAATTCTAAGTTTGAATTTTTAGGTTGTTTTTCGTTTTTGCTCCATTTTACAGAGAATATAACAACAGAAATTATACATGTATGGTGTATTGTCTGAAACTTAGTAAATTTTGACCTGCTCCGCGATTCAATTTTCGTATTTTTAAAATTTGGATAAGTTTTAAATAAATTGTAATATTTTAAGAAAATTAAAAACAAATCATTTGGATTTATTGTATAAATATTTCTACCAAATTTGGATAACATATATGACGTCAAATATAATAGATATGACAGTTGTCCACGAACTTTTCGAACAACCCTCGTATATACATCTTTTTGAAAAAAAAATTATTCCCTTCATAAACATACCTGGTCCTGTTTAAATTGGTGATGATATGAACGATTTGCTTTGGTGAATCATACTCAAAATGTTCATACGGTATAACTGTGGCACGAACATTATATGATTGCTAACTAAAAGCGGTGTATCAATACATATATACATGTACATAGTGATACAGAGGGCATGATGCATCGGTAAACTTAAAATGAAGAATCGAAGAAATGAAAAACCCGGTTCTTTTTTAGTGCAAACTTGCCTATATAGCATTATAATTTGTTTAGAAATCAGTACACTGTTTAGTCTGTTTAGAAATCAGTACACTGTTTAGTTTGTTTAGAAATCAGTACACTGTTTAGTTTGTTTAGAAATCAGTACACTGTTTAGTCTGTTTAGAAATCAGTACACTGTTTAGTTTGTTTAGAAATCAGTACACTGTTTAGTTTGTTTAGAAATCAGTACACTGTTTAGTTTGTTTAGAAATCAGTATACACTGTTTAGTCTGTTTAGAAATCAGTACACTGTTTAGTTTGTTTAGAAATCAGTACACTGTTTAGTTTGTTTAGAAATCAGTACACTGTTTAGTTTGTTTAGAAATCAGTACACTGTTTAGTTTGTTTAGAAATCAGTACACTGTTTAGTTTGTTTAGAAATCAGTACATTGTTTAGTTTGTTTAGAAATCAGTACACTGTTTAGTTTGTTTAGAAATCAGTACACTGTTTAGTTTGTTTAGAAATCAGTACACTGTTTAGTTTGTTTAGAAATCAGTACACTGTTTAGTTTGTTTAGAAATCAGTACACTGTTTAGTTTGTTTAGAAATCAGTATACACTGTTTAGTTTGTTTAGAAATCAGTACACTGTTTAGTTTGTTTAGAAATCAGTACACTGTTTAGTTTGTTTAGAAATCAGTACACTGTTTAGTTTGTTTAGAAATCAGTACACTGTTTAGTTTGTTTAGAAATCAGTACACTGTTTAGTTTGTTTAGAAATCAGTACACTGTTTAGTTTGTTTAGAAATCAGTACACTGTTTAGTTTGTTTAGAAATCAGTACCCTGTTTAGTTTGTTTAGAAATCAGTACACCGTTTAGTTTGTTTAGAAATCAGTACACTGTTTAGTTTGTTTAGAAATCAGTACACTGTTTAGTTTGTTTAGAAATCAGTACACTGTTTAGTTTGTTTAGAAATCAGTACACTGTTTAGTTTGTTTAGAAATCAGTACACCGTTTAGTTTGTTTAGAAATCAGTACACTGTATAGTTTGTTTAGAAATCAGTACACTGTTCAGTTTGTTTAGAAATCAGTACACTGTTTAGTTTGTTTAGAAATCAGTACACTGTTTAGTTTGTTTAGAAATCAGTACACTGTTTAGTTTGTTTAGAAATCAGTACACTGTTTAGTTTGTTTAGAAATCAGTACCCTGTTTAGTTTGTTTAGAAATCAGTACACTGTTTAGTTTGTTTAGAAATCAGTACACTGTTTAGTTTGTTTAGAAATCAGTACACTGTTTAGTTTGTTTAGAAATCAGTACACTGTTTAGTTTGTTTAGAAATCAGTACACTGTTTAGTTTGTTTAGAAATCAGTACTCTGTTTAGTTTGTTTAGAAATCAGTACACTGTTTAGTTTGTTTAGAAATCAGTACACTGTTTAGTTTGTTTCTCCGAGTTTATTTCTCCTTATTTTAAAACTTAGAACTGACCAAAGGGACAAACACCACCGCCTGGGTCTTTGGAGAAGGTGACAAGTCACGATTAATACATGTACTAGTGTAGATAGATCTTAGAGGTCTTCACAATTTTTAAAAGCATTTAGAGTGATTATTTACCGGTAATTGTTCATTATATTTTTTATAATGAAAATAAGGCGCGGTACATGTATAATAAAACATCAATACTGTTATTTATTACAATAAAAAAGAAAAAGAAAACAAATTGTCAAGTATTTTCCTATCGAAAAGTATAAAGGCTTTATTTAATATCCATTTTTTTCTACAGTGACTAAAGATCAACATCATTACACCCCCTCAGATCATACGCAATCTTTGTGTGAAGTGGAAACTTCCAACACCACAGATTATTCTCCATAAGAATGATACAAAACAGCCACAAATAATGATTTTTTTTTCTGTCAATGACCTTGAACTTGCAAATATAATTGTGGATCAAGGTCATGACACACTTTCGGGTCATAAGATACTGAGTAGCTTTATGTCAAATGAGAATTCATCAAGTTTATCCATAAGAAATATATGGACCTGAAACGAATTATGAACTTTCTCCGTAGATGAAATGGAACTTGCCCCATGACCTTGGGTCAAGGTCATGACATACCTTCCGGTTATGAACAATCTCTCTGTGATGCAGTAGATTCTAACATTCCTCTGTACGAAAGATATGGACCGTACACGTTTGCACAGACGGACAGAGAGACAGATAAACAGGCAGACAGACATACGCGATCCCTATTTGACCACCCTCCCCCACTTTGTTTGCGGGGGATATAAATATCAAAATGCTTTATATATGACCTGATTTTATGTTCGTATTTTGATAAAAAAAAAAAACCTTTTGTCCAGAGGTAAACCCTTCGACATCTCAGCTACAAGTATATGTAAGTCAGTCAGTAATTGCTACGTTCCTTTTTATTTTCAGATTAAAATGAGATCAAGCCGAATGTCGACGAGTCTCTACAACTATCTTCTTGGGGGTGGATCCAAAAGTTCTTTCAAAAAAGTCTTTCTTCTATCTCTATTGTTCGCCATCACAGTCTGGATTTACAGCTTCGTTAGGTTCAATGCTGTTTACCATGACCACTGTTTACACTGGTCAGAAACATCCGACATTAGTATACCACAAGATGAGCAGCTTCATCAAATGTCTCTATATAGGCTCTCATGTTTATATCAGCGCTACGTCACTTCCCTTCAAAGTTTGTGTACAGAACCTAAGCGTTTTGGAAACGTAGATTACGGTGGTGTTCGAATTTGCGCGGATGGCGGTGTTGCACCTAGTTTGAATTGTGTTGTATACAGCTATAATCATGGTTTAAGTGATAGGTTTGTTGAGCAGATACATGCCAAATACAGGTGTAACGTTGTCTTCTATGGAAATGAAATGGAACCGCGAAAATATACACACTTTTTAAGATTTAATAAAATTTTATACAACTACGAAAGAGAACTTAGCGTAGTAATTCTTAAAATCAAATCTAGTGATTTTCCGTTTCTATTAGATTTTAGCAAAAGTGTTAGAGTAGCCAGTATAAAACAAATTATTTTAGAGATTCACTATGACACAAAAAAGGAAAAGCCAGAAGATTATATTATGTTGCTTACAGCACTACGTGAATTACACTCTTCTAATTACGTAATATATTGGTACGACAGAAACTGGGAATATGTTGAAAACAGTAGGACAAAACAACGAAAATCAAAATGCTTTACGATCAATATGTTTCTGAAAAATCAAAATATTTCATCCTCGTCTCAGCATGAATCAAATATGATTTCACCGAAAATAAATTTACCAGATATAGCTCCACTGGGAATACGTCCTCTAGGTCGAGAGGAAGGTTTAAAATACGAAAAGATGTTCAATGATTATATAACAAAACACCAAATTCTCTGCAAACAGATGATCCGTTTGGGGAATATTGTGGACGGAGGATGGGACGTATGTCATGATTTCCGGTTCCGGCCGAAAACACCTTGCATAGTGTATTCCATTGGAATAAGTAACGACTTTTCATTTGATGAGGACATGGAGAAAACTTACGGATGTGACGTATATTCATTTGATCCGAGTATGAATGTCGGTAATTATAAACATTCGGAACACATCATGTTTTATCAAGTTGGACTCGGCGACAAAGTTAGTGAGATCGAAGTGAAAGGGTTAAAATGGAAAATTAAAAACTTGAAGACAATAATGAAGGAGTTAGGTCATACAGAGAAAAAGATTGATGTGCTTAAAATAGATATAGAAGGGAGTGAAAGACAGAGTCTTCCGGAAATAATAGAATCCGGTGCTCTAAAAAACGTAGTTCAACTTTGTCTGGAATTTCATAGCTATATTGACGTTGGTGCCATGAGAAAACTTTATGAGCTCGGGTTTAGAATATATTGGGCCCACCAGAATCCTACAGCGCCTATGTACAAGAGCGATGAGACTTTTTCTTATGGAATGGAAGTATATTTTGTAAATATTAACTTTAAATAGATTTAATTATTTAAAATTTCATATTAATTATTTTAAAAATTGTTACTTTTTATTTGTTGGTTGTTAAAAGTTGAATCGGATTGTACATGTATAGCCTTAGTATAAAAGGTTCAATGCATTCATTCTTGGAAAATCTTTTTTTCTGAACATGGTTATTAAACAAACTAAGTAAGTACCTAGTTCTCATGAGCACGGTTGCCTCTTATAATAGTTTGATATTTATGACCCATAATTCAGACCTTCTGGTGTTACGGCGGGCATCTGTTGATTATTCTAATGTGAAAATGCATTAATTCTTTCAAAAATTCTTTGAAAATCTTGTTTGCACTTAGATATTATTAAAGGAAAAGTTTGCATGGTCATGATAAGAAAGGATGCCTCTTCTATAATTGTAAAATTCATGGTCTCATGGTTGGTATGAGACTATGGAGATCATACAGAGAATGTGCATTTTAAAAATTCTTTAAAAATCCTTTCTGCACCTGGATAAGTTTCATCGCCATTTAGTCAGATGTTTAAATAAAAAGTCAGATGTTCTGGTGTAAGTGTGGGACTCTTTTCATAATATAGTGAATTGTGTTAATTCTTTGAAAATGTTCAGCATCGATGATGACGGTTCCTCTTCCAAATCATTGAATTTCATCACCCTGGGATAGGTTCTGGTGTTAGAGTAGGGCTGTGCTGAACCTATATCAAAAATAAATTATTTCTTGATAATCTTCACTGCTCCTCGGTATATCAGAGGCAAACAGAATAAGTTTTAATGAGGAAGGGTATTTTAACCAGGTTTTTGAACATGTGGACCATTTGTTCAAGCGTTCTCGTCCTGATAAATTAGTACAAAAGCACTACAGAAGTTTGTTTAAAAAATAGTCTGCATGGTGATAGTGATAAATGTGGGGTATTTATCTATGGCTTGATCTATTAGTTAATTTTTTAAATTGTTGTATTATACTCATGGCATTCACAATTATGGAAGAAGCAGCCTTGTTCATCATAACTATGTCATAGTTAGTTTTTTTTAAATACCTAGGAACAGAGAAGTTTTTCAAAGTATTTATGCCTCTTCACCAAATAATCAATAAAGCCCCGTTCTAACACCAGAATCCCTGACCCAGAGACCATGAAATTCACAATTTAGAAAGAGGCAGCCTTGTTACAACGCACTTTGAAAAATTACGCACTTTGAAAAATTTTTTCAAAGTGCGTTAATTTTTGGGACCAGGTTAACGCACTTTGAAAAAATTTTTCAAAGTGCGTTGAATTTGGGACCAAATCAACGCACTTTGAAAAAATTTTTCAAAGTGCGTTAAGACTGTACATCATAATTTTACACCATGTAAACATTTAACGCACTTTGAAAAAATTTTCATGAAACAAAAGGAATTAGACTTACATGTATATTTTAGAAATAGACAACAGTATTACCCCCTCGCAACGTATGATGGGATATAGTGATGCGATTATGTGTGCTATTACTTTATGTGTATTTTTTTTTTATCTGTGTGGAATTGACGTAATTTGTATCGCGATCGATGTCAAATGCTGCCTTGATTTACTGAACATGCTTTTTGGGAAGGAATGCTCCGCTTTGCGGTGCCCTTACCTTGATGTGTTTCTTTCTAAAAACTGATGGATTGAAGAAAACCTAGAAACGGACAACGAAGAAAAGACTGGCTGAATTAAGGTCTATCAGCTTAACTCTTTATCATTCCCACCCAGATGTATCTATTTCTATAACTCGTAAACTTAAGTGTCAATGATATTTGGAAAAAAGAGCATTCTAAATACAGTATAAGCACTGTACAAGGAAGTCTGTAGTAAATCGAAATTTTGTTCTTTTAAATCTCAAAGTCTATTTATGTTCATTTTCAGGAAAATCAGAATATTAATAACATTAATTACATTTAATTATTATAATATTAAGTACCTGTCTGCTTTTCGATGTTAATTTGATACCATATCTGATATTCTCTCTGTTAACCTCCAGGTATTTAACTTACATGATATTTTCATAGGAATTGTTCATTTAACATGTATCTAATATCTTTTCTCATGTTTTACGCAAATAAATAAAGCATATATAAATTAATAAAATACAATTATTTAGTTTTAAATAGCTTTAAAATTGGTGAAAAATAAGCATTTTTTTTCGTTTTTTGTCTATAAACATATGCCCCCCCCCCCGTGAAACACAAAAAGCTTTGGCATAAATTTGTAAAATGACAGTCCATATTATCTGTAAAAAGGAATTTTTGTTTCACGGGGGGGGGGTTGTTTTAAAAATATTTTCAGTTTTCCGTTGATTTCTATAGTGGAAAACACAAGTTTTGCCAAAATTATAGAGTTATCTCTCTTTGGTATCCCAAATAAGTAAGGTTTTATGAAAATTCATATAAATATGTATAAAAATTTTGAGAATCATTCCAAGATGTTAACTTTTGAGAATTGACTTAGAGATAGGCGGAAGAATAATACTATCGTTCGTAGTTCTTTACGACCTTGAATGTTGACCTTTTGACCCCAAATTCAAAAGGGGTCTTCCTAAGGCCACAGGGATTCTGTTATGTTAAATTTCATTGCAAAAGCCCAAAGGGTTGTCGAGATATCGTGTGGAAACGAAAGCGTTACAGAAAGACGGATGGACGGACAGCTAGACGGACGGACGGACCCAAATTAATATCCCCCACTTTTCAAGCGGGGGACAAAAAGTATCAAATCAGGTTCAAATGATAAGTTATCATACTTAAGATTTGTAGGAATATTGACTAAGCCATGCAGAATTTTTTTTTCAAAGTGCGTTAATATGGTCCATATTAACGCACTTTGAAAAAAAAAAAATTTTTTTCAAAGTGCGTTAACCTGGTCCCAAAAATTAACGCACTTTGAAAAATTTTTTCAAAGTGCGTAATTTTTTCAAAGTGCGTTGCCACACAGCCTTATTCAACATAACTTTGTAACTGGTTAGTTTATTTAAAATCCTTGCGCACAGAAGATTTTTATAAAAGGTATGCAATTTCACTTTTATCTATTTAGCCCTGTCATAGCACTAGAACCCCTGAACCTGGGGACTTGAATTTCACAATTTTATTAGAGACATATTACAACAATGCCAACAGTTTTACTGCTTGATGTCCAGGAGTAAAGAGATTTTTAAAGATTGCATTAATTTAAGTGGTTTGGCATCACCCCCTCAAGCATTAGGGTGACAGGGACAATGAAATTCGCAATTATTGTTTCCCTTCATTCATTGATGCTTTATGCCAAAATTGATTGAAATTGGTTGAGTGGTTATAGAGAAGAAGCTGAAAATGTTCAAATGTTTACACACGACGGACGTAAACGAATAGCAATAGATTATCTGATTTTACTCAATCATTTTTTTTATATTGAAATATACTAGTACATGAAAAAATCCTCTCTTCAACTACTTGGCCAGAAAAACGAAACTTAAGTGAAAGCATTCTGCGTGGTGTAGATTCCATATAGTTCAACATGGCCCCCGATGTAGGGCGGGGCCACTTAAAGGGAATCTAAGTTTTACATTGAAATACATACAGGGTGTTTCACAATATATGTCACACATCTAAACACAGAGAGATTAATGACAACAAAAGCTACATATACATATTATATATCATTTTAATCAGGATATGTTCAAAATTATTTTTTTGAGTCAGAAGTATCGAACATTCTCCACTTCAGTTACTATGGCAACAAATTCTAAAATGTTATTCTCCAAGTGTTTTCCGAAAATTGTCCTTAATAACTTAAGAGACTAATGCTCAGAAATTTCTGACCACTGTTTTGTAAGCTTCACAGGATACCTGAGACTTTTTGTTTTATATTTGACTTTTTAGAACCCACGTCACTACTGGACGAAAAAAGTGCTGAGAATCCCAAATTTTACTGATAAAGTTTGATAATTACTGATACTGTGCTGTTGTTGCTGATAAATACTGATATTTACTGTTATTATTACTGTTGTTGCTGATATTTTTTGTTGTTTCTGATAAATACTGATAATTACTGTTGCCTTTTACTGTTGAGTCTGATAAATACTGATAAATACTGTTGATGTACTGTCGTTGCTGAGAATTGCTGATAATTACTGTTGAGGTACTGTCGATGCTGAGATTTACTGATAATTACTGTGGTCATTGTTTTTAACCTGGTAATTGGTTTAAAATAAAACAGAGGGCTATTAAACCCTTCAATTATTACTTTCTTCTACTTGAATTATCATGACAAAATGTTCATATTTCTTTAAATGTTCTGCATGTGACAACGTTACATGACTGTATGTATGTATGCTGATCTCAATTTCTACATTACGTTTGTGAAAATTTTGACATTAATCAAATGAATTATTAATAGAATGAATATATAGATTTAGAATTAATAAAAAAAATGAACTGCAGAAAAAAAAATGGAATTTTACTTTTTCATAAGATCTTATTGAAAAATAAACTGTAAATAAAAAGAAAATTATGCTATCTTAAAAAGATCCATCGCCGCCTTTCCCGACTCCAAGAAAATTATGTAGGGAGATCGGTGATCTTTTTTTTCAATAATAAGAAAAAAGTTCTTAATGGATGGAAACAAAATCGGGATAAAAAAAGTTTCCTGTAGGTTAGAAAAGTTGGATTTGTTCCGTTTTCACTAGGTCAACTGGTCGAGTTTGGACAACATTTTGTTTTTGAAGGCCTTTTTTTTCTCGAAAACAATTATATTTATCTTTTAAATGTTCAGTTTTCTGGTCTCTTTTTGTCGAAATATTTGAAAATTTGCTCGAACATTAGAAATTTTATCCGTTTTAAAAGTAACTAAGAGGCGAAAACGGGTTTGAATATGTTCAATCTGTGGGCACTGATTCTAATTAATAATTTATTTATTTATCCATTTATTTGAATGTTATGTAGACGTTTGTAGATTATACAAGAATTGAACTCCTCCACATGTAAATATGTACAAGTACACACTGTATGCATGTGCAACCGGCAAATGGGGCGAGCTGATTAAAAATTAGAGGTTAAGAATCCCTAGTGCAAAGGTACAAGTGTTTAGTTTATCTCTTAAAATTTAGATATAAAATAATTTTTTATTTAATCAGTTTTGAAAT